CCGGCTACTGGAACAATATACCAAAAGTCTAAAAATTCAGGCGATAAAATTGTGCGATTTCAAAATGGATTTAATAAAGTGGCAATTGAACTTCGGATCGTGCAATTTTGGTCTGAAATCATACTTGTGATTTCAAATCGAACTTGCGCTGCGCGCTCGTTCGATTTTGAAATCACGCGTATGATTACAGACCAAATTGCACTCCACTCAGTTCAATTACCATTCTTTATCTGCGCGGTATAACTGCACCTGCCAAACCAAATCGCTTACTTTACCAGCAGTTCTATCCGTTGGCGTTGGTCAGAAAGCCAAGGACAATATGACTTTAAAAGAAACTAAGTCATGTCAATCGCCAGATGTGGATCTGTCTGGGAGGCAAATGTCGAGAAAAAAATCTTCCCTTTGCATTTGTTATCTCCCAGATATTTTCAAGAAGACAGATATTTATCGAAATCAACTTTTTTTTTTAATTATTTTAATTCATCAGATACCCAAGATGACGAGATTTAAAAAAGGCGTAATGGCACTTAAGACACACTTTGACCTCTTTGCCATCACAATGTCTCCCGAACTAAGAACTGCATTAACATTTAGCTGAATGTCCATGAGAGTTTTATCATACCGATGTTTTAGTCTTCGGCTGATGAGCAGTTAAGTTGACGTAAAAACGTAGAAATGAAGACTTTTTAGTGAGCGCAAGTTTAAGAATTTTTTCTACTTCTTTGCAGATGTGTTGATGTTTTTTGAAGAAAATTGTTTTCAGAATAATACTGTACTCATTAACCGGAGTCGCGATTGACTGAAATTAATATACCTTCGTTGCTCTTCTTGGCTGTGAGCAGATCACCTGAATCAACAAAGCATCAGTTAAAATGAAGTAGCACTCTTTTGCGTGCATATGGACCGAGAAGCAGTCCAGATCCAGAAACACGAGAAAAAAATTAATGAGTCCACAGCCCAGCCATCATAACTCAACGATTGAGGTGGCTTCCTCCATAAGCCTGGTGGATTTTTGGAGGTCCCCTCGCCCTATCGAAAATTTCTTTTTATTGTATTTCTAACCACCTGAAACGCGTTTCTTGTGTTAAATTTTATCATGAAAAATAAACCGTGGTAAACCCCTCTTTTATTCTATTAAAACGCTTTACTACAATGTGAAATATTCTGATACTACAGCAATAATGGCAACGCTTTGCGTTCGCTTCGACCCTTATCCAAGAAAAAGACTTGGAAAACCGTTTAAATTTTCGTTAAAATACTTTTAACTCTGAACACTGCAAGCTATTTCTTTAAGATTAACTTCAAAACTACAAAAAAACTCTTAGGGTGAGTTCTTTTCCTGAAGTTCGCACGAGAATTCACATTACAATAGTGTCTATCATTTAAACTTATGTGTCCATCTTAGGATTTTACTTCTGCCACAAATGGATCAAATGCGGAGTCTTCTACTTGCATCCGCATTCTTTAACGACCATGTCATCAAACTTCTTTTGGACGACCTAGTTATTTTTATCAAAAAGGAGAACTGTTATCGGCTCCAGTTTGGTTGGGACACAGCATGCCTCGTCATCAATTTCAAGGCCTGTCTTTTTCTCTAGCAAGGCCATGAGAGCCGAGCGATTGGGAAACTTTCTTCGCTGTGTTGAGGAACATTTGCCTTTGCACTGATTGATATAGAAGCCCGGAGGTGCGATGATGTCCTCAGACAGGTCAAGTATTTTGAAGTATACGTACAAGCGAACCTTTTGGCACGTATCATTTTCATGTTCAGTCTTCTCGGCTGCAGAATTGTATGCCCACGGTGCCTCTAATGTCTTTGGATCAGGAGACTCTGATATCGTCTTTTTCGCTTCCAAGGACGGAGGTTCTCCTCTGATCTTTACTTGTTCTTTTTCGATGGCACATGAAGTCACCAGGAGGAGCTGGGAGGCGAAGAGCGACAGAAACAGATACAGCATCGTCATGATGTTCACGACAAGTTTCGGTAGTGACGACTGGGTCCTTCGTTCGAAAATCACAGCTGAACTACTTCAAAGACAACCAAGGTTCCTTTATATGGCAAGGACTCTTTGTTGGCCGTAACCACTGAATAGGATCTGTCTACCTCTCTTTTTCAGTGTTCGTGTTACTTTCTAAAAGCTTTTGAGTACTAAACTAATACTTCATCTGTTACATGATATCGCAATGGTATTTGGCTAAGGGGATATACAAAATTATTCTTGAGATTTCCTTCCTTCATTAGAAATAGAAGGCCAAAAATAAGTGATGCACTGACATTTTATGCACTCGACGAAACAAGCTCTCAACTTTTATTTTTATTTGTGACATTTGTCTTCTGTGCAGTCTTGACATGAGTATTGAGCATTAACCGCTGAAGGAAAAAGACATCTTGAGCTTTGCGACTCGTATCTTCCCCTTGTGCAGAGGATATCGATGAACCGCTGAGTTTGGATTGATCTTCCTGGCCCCTAGCAGAGATGATTACGGAGCTCCGGACTTCCGACCCTTTGAATTGGTCTGTTAATAAATATTTTCACGTTTCGGTTTATTAGCAGCTTACACCTTTTCTCCAAATCAAAAACTAATGATGTACTGCATGTAGCTGTATAGCTGTATTTTTCCCGAGAAACGTTATTAATCAAAATCATTTAAAGGAGGATTTTACGTCCTTGATATTGAATTGATGGTTAACACTCCGATAATTATATGTATGAACAGATACTTAGCTATCTAAATCTTGAAAAGCAGGAGCAATACTCCTGTTTCGTTGTAATTTTCAAAGCAGCTGTTTCGAGAAAGGTTGCCGAATGAAAGCGTCAAGCCTACGCGTCAAGACCGAATGGTAGTCTGACTATTCATTGGAATTTTGAATATCGGTGCCGAAGAAATCTACAAATTTTTATTTTCGCGCGTGAAATAATAGCAAGAATTTATTAGATATTAAAACTCATAAGACCGTTTTTCTGAGGGGAGCAGCATGTTTTTCCAGAACAGAAAAACTGAATCTTTCTTTTTAATTTTATCGACCGCCGATTACTTTTAAGGAATACCAGTATCCTATATCCTTTATTCGCGAATTTCTACGTTTGTGCATTCCTGGATAGTCGAGAAATCAGTGACAGCCCCAGAGCAACTGTTTTGGCAACGGACTGGGGCGTGCTACCCAAGGGGTCGTACTGAGATAACTTCGATGATCTCTCTTGTGTGTAACACGCAAAACCTCGCATTTGTCAGCATGAAATCGAAGCTGCCAGTTTTCCCTCATTTGCTGAAGAGTGTCAAGGTCACGTTAAAAGTCTCTCTCATCCACTTCGTGGTAAATAAACCTGTAAATCTGGCTATCATCCGCGAACAAGTGCGTACAAACATCAACACCAGTTGTAATATCATTTATATAATCAAGGAACTTAAACTGGGTCTAGTACACTGCCTTGGGGAACACCAAAGGTGACTATCGTCCTAGAAGAAAATGTCCAAGAAGAAACACTCTTTGCTTTCTACTGATGAGAAAGTCAACACGCCAGTTAAGGACGACTCCGCCAATCCCGTACTCCTTTAGTTGCAGTTTCACTAACAAACGTTGGCGAGGAGCTGAGTCGAATGCTTTCGTAAAGTGTAATAAAATAACGTCAGCTTTACGTGAGTAGTTTCCTGCCCTGGCCCAAAAATGAAAATTATCAAGTAATTGGGACAAACATGAACGTTCTTTTATGAAACCAAATTTCTCATTTAGTAATATGAGGTGATCAGTCCAAAAATTTATAATAGAGTTTCACAAACTCTTCTCGTAGATTTTACCCACAATTTCCATTTGGTATTTTAAAGCACAATCGCATTAGCTACTCGTTGACCGCTGACCTGGTCGTCACAATTTCTTGAAGTCTTTTAAAGTAAAGGCTGCGCCATCATGTAGTTCTGAATGTCCACTAAGGTTTATATTACCAATGTCTTTCACATAATGTAAGAAAGAATAGCTTGTATAAACAGTGGTTTAACGTTACGTGGAAACCAGCAAATGCCGTAACGTCACGAATCTTTCTCTTTTTCATCTTTTTACCTAAGCGCGGCAAAAGCGTTTTTTTTCCCAGAGACTACATAGACAACTTCTTCAATCAACACAAAACCTGGGAATTTCCCATTCACTTTATAATTAGATAATTTAAATTTCGCTTGAAGTTTTGAAGGAAAGGTCCGCAAAATAAGTCTGTACGTTAACAGGACCCAGCCAACGAATCATGATCGCTCTTCTTGTTTGCGCTGTTTATCTAACCACAAATGGCCTACTGACAGAGGATGAGATATTGCCCAAGTACAGTTTTACGTGTTTATGGACGAGAGGAAGTCGAGATCAAGAAACACGCATAAAGTCCAAAATCCAGTTATCTAGCCTCAGCAAATTATGGCCAATGAGGGATCTATTTTATACGTTTATGGCATAAAGAACTCGTTTTTACGAAAAATGGCTCTCTAAAATCTTGACGAAGAGCTGCAAACAGTGTGTGTGTGAGAAAAAAAAAATGTCCCTATTGGGCGAAAAATTCTGCAAGCTTATTGCTGCCCTCACCTCGTAGGTTATCTCTCACGGTTAGTTTTAAAATATACAAAGACCACCAATAATAGCTAAAAGTAGGGGGTTTGCTAAGAATAGGCCGAATCCAAGTTATACGGGGCGATAAATGTCACAAACTTTTCACATCTCCAAAACAGAGTCCTGAGTACAGACAAATCGTTACAAGTTCCTAATTTCAAAAATGCTAATGCAATTTTTCCGATATCTAGAAGGTACACTCAAAAATAGCTTCCTTGGAGCAAATTAAGTTTTGGAATGGCATGACAATGAACTTCGGAATTACATGACATGGGAATCATCTTTCTTTTTGAATGTAATGGCCATGTTTTCCAATCCAATAGAAACCACGCAGCTACCCTTTATAAACGAAGGCTTTGTTTGTGAGAATTTTTTACAAAGAAAATTGCTTTCTTGGCTTCTGTTTGTTGCCATAAATCAATTGCTTAACACTCAGCACTAAATCCATTAGTAATTTTTAGCTCCCCGTTATATGTTTCTTACTTAACACTTTTCACCGCAAAAAACCTCTCGCCGTGAACCCCTCTTTTAATTAAATTAAAAAACCTTACTTACATGTGAAATGTTGTGATACTACAGCAGCAATGGACTGAATCTTCATTCATTTCAGCCAAGCTATTTCAAACGTTGAATATCTAGTGGTTTTGAATAACATTTTACGAATCGATTCATGCAAATATTATTCACGCGAATTAGACTAAGTACTGTTCTTGAGCTTTCATTATAATGCTCTTTACTCTGTGTGAATTAAAAACAGAAACTAGTATGCCACTAAACCCTTACAAATTATTTGTTCCTTTTCAGCAAGGTAATTCTTAAAAATTACTTGCGACGAAAACGACTTAAAATGAACCGAGGTTACAAACAACACTACTACTACAAGTGTTCTCTTTCCCTTAAGATTCCACGAGATTTCTAATTACAGTGGTGTCTATTATTTAAATCATCAGGCCTATTTTTACTTTTTTACTTATGCTTCAAATGGCAGTGCCAGAACTTTTACTGACAACCACATTCTTCGACTACCATACCATCAATATTCCTCAAAACGACTTTGCTGTTCTTGTTCATGTAAAGAAGACTTATCGACCCCAGTTTGGTTGGGACACAGCATGCCTCGTCATCAATTTTAATCCCTGACTTTTTCTCTAGCAAAGCCATGAGAGGCGAGCGATTGGGAAACTTTTTCTGCTGTGTTGAGGAACATTTGCCTTTGCACTGATACGCTTTGAACCCGGGAGGTGAGACGATGTTTTCAGTCAAACCGAGTTCATTGAAGTTTACGTACAAGTCAACCCTTTGGCAGGTATCATTTGCATGCTCAGTGTTCTCTAGAGTACTCTTGCCATATGTCCATGGTGCCTCTGGTGTCTTTGGATCAGAGGACTCTGATATCGCCTTTTTCGCTTCCAAGGACGGAGGTTCTTCTCTGTTCTTTACTTGTTCTATTTTGATGGCGCATGAAGTCACCAGGAAGAGCTGGGAGGCGAAAAGCGACAGAAACAGATACAGCATCGTCATGATGTTCACGACAGGTTTCGATAGTGACGACTGAGTTCTTCGTTTGAAAATCACAACTAAACTACTTCAAAGACAAACAAGGTTCCTTTATATGGCACGCACTCTTTGTTGACCTGACCAATAGGATCTATCACTCTCTTTTTGTTCGTGTTGCTTTCTAAAAGCTTTTGAGAACTAAACTAATACTGTATCTGTTACATGATATCGCTATCGCATTTGGCTAAGGGGATAAAAATACTGTTCTTGAAATTTCCTGCTACAGGGGAAGTTGAAGGCCAAAAGTTATGCACTCGACGAAACAAGGTTTCAACTCTTATTTTTATTTGTGACATTTGTCTTCTGTACACTCTTGACATGAGTATTGAGCAGTAGCCGCTGAAGGCAAAAAAAGATGTCCTCGCTTTGTGACTCGTATGTTCTCTTTGTGTTCCTCTGCAGGGGATATCGAAGAGCCGCTGAATTAGGATTGAACTGATCTTCCTGGCCCCTAGCAGAGATGATTACGGCACTCCGGACTTCCGACCCTTTGAATAGGCCATTTTCGAGTTTCCTTGTGCCTCTGTTTTAATGAAAATAAGTTTGATTTGCATGAAAATGAAGCTATAGGCGGACTTCATTTTCATTTGAATGGTTTCGCACGAAGACTCGTCTTGATACAGAGGCAAAAGACAACTCGGGAATGGCAACGAGGCAACAAGGGCTAATTTGCAAGTAAACAAAAGAATACTAAAATGGCGGCCATTTTGGAATAAGGTGTATTGGCCTCTTACTAAATATTTTTACGTTTTGGTTAATTGCCAGCTTACACCTTTGGCTTTTCTCCAAATTGAAAATTAACGATATACTGCACGTAGCTGTATTTTTTCCGAGAAACGTTATTAATCAAAATCATTTAAATAATGATTCAACATGCTTCATATTGAATTGATGATTAATACCCGGATAATTATATGGTTGAACAGATACTTAGTTAACTAAATCTTAAAAGGTAGGGGTAAAACTTGTTTCCTTGTGATTTTGAATAGCGCTGTTTTGAGAAAGGTTGTCGGATGAAAGCGTCAAGCACTCGCGTCAAGACAGAATGGTAGCATGGCTATTCATTTAAATTTTGCATATCGTTACAGGAGAAATCTACAAATTTTTACTTTTTTCACGTGAAGTATTAGCAAGGATACATTAGATATTAAAACTCATAAGACCGTTTTTCTGAGGGGAGCAGCATGTTTTTTCAGAACAGACAGAAAAATCTTTCTTTTAATTTTATCGACCGCCGATTACTCTTAAGGAATCCCAGTATCCTATTGGCTTTATTCACAACTTTCTACTTTTGTACATTCCTGGATAGTCGAGAAATCAGTGACATCCCCAGAGAAACTGTTTTGGCAACGGACTGGAGCGTGCTTCCTAAGGGCTCGTACTAAGATGATCTCTCTTGTGTGTAACACGCAAAACCTCGCATTTCACAGGATGAAATCGAAGCTGCCAGGTTTTCGCTAATTTGCTGAAGGGTGTCACGCTCACACTGAGAGTCTCTCTCATCCACTTCGTGGTAAATAATCCTGTAAATCTGGTTATAATCCGCGAACAAGTGCGTGCAGGACTTAACAACAGTTGTAATATCATTTATATGATCAAGAAACTTAAATTGGGTCTACACACTGCCTTGGGGAACACCAGAGTGACTATCGTCCCAGAAGAAAATGGCCGCGAAGAAACACTCTTTGCTTTCTACTGATGAGAAAGTCAACACGCCAGTTAAGGGCGACTCCGCTAATGCGGTATTCCTTCAGTAGCAAATTCCTGCAAATTCACTAACAAACGTTGGCGAGGAGCTGAGTCGAATGCTTTCGTAAAGTGTAATAAAATAACATCAGCTTTACGTGAGTAGTTTCCTTCTTTGGGACAAGAATGAAAATTATCAAGTAATTGGGACAAACAAGAACGCTCTTTTATGNTCTCTCATCCACTTCGTGGTAAATAATCCTGTAAATCTGGTTATCATCCACGAACAAGTGCGTGCAGGACTTAACAATAGTTGTAATATCATTTATATAATCAAGAAACTTAAATTGGGTCTACACACTGCCTTGGGGAACACCAGAGTGACTATCGACCCAGAAGAAAATGGCCGCGAAGAAACACTCTTTGCTTTTTACTGATGAGTAAGTCAACAAGCCAGTTAAGGACGACTCCGCCAATCCGGTATTCCTTCAGTAGCAAATTCCTGCAAATTCACTAACAAACGTTTGCGAGGAGCTGAGTCGAATGCTTTCGTAAAGTGTAATAAAATAACATCAGCTTTACGTGACTAGTTTCATTCTTTGGGACAAGAATGAAAATTATCAAGTAATTGGGACAAACAAGAACGCTCTTTTATGAAACCAAATGTCTTATTTATATATATGGGGTGATCAGTCCAAAAATTTACAAGAGACTTTCATAAATTCTTCTCGCAGATTTTACTCACACTTTTTATTTTCTCTTTTAAAGCGGAATCAC